TGAGAGTTAAGGCCTAGTGAAACTGTAGATCGGGCTTGGGATTCAGAGCAAGACAGGACCCTTCAGGTCATATCAACTACGGAGATTGGAGGCTGCTTTCGCTCTTCATTTCACTAAATGCCAATGACTGTTGCGAGCCACCCGCGCGAGTAAGGGATAATCCCAGATGACTTAGAAAGGCTAGCAGACAATAGTGAAGTGAGTGGCTGAAAGTTAATGAGAATATTGCGCGATGGCTGGTTTAGGGAATCAATCTCGGCAAATATCCGCGCCCCAAGCTCACAAGCATACACAGACATACAACAGAACAAAGTCAGTCTGGGATGAAGGGATTAGGGAGAGAATTGATCTAAGACGGGGTAGATAGGCGGAAAGATGTGAGCTCAGCACCCTTTGTACAACTTGACGTAGCAGCAATAGGCTCGATGAGATATAACGGAGAGCTAGTTATATGAGCAAGATTTTTGGACTTTCCGGTACATTTTGCAACATTATACAGCCTCAAAAGCCATAGGAAAAATGAACGATTGTCACGTGGTTCTACATATTATCTGGTCAACACGTCTATCTGCATATAAGTTACCTCAGGGATTATGCGCATCTGTATTCAAGGGCTGTAGTGCCAATCCTAAGATCAAATAGATCTCCACTAAGTTGACCTCAAAACAATTAAAGATCGGGTATTATGTCGTGCTCATAACTCAGAGCTTTCTGCGCCACTTCAAAGAACGTACCTCGTATTATTGTCATGTCTTCCTCCTGCACCGGACCATTGACAGGCTACACTCCATAACGTATCACAGGAGGAATGACATGGCCTGACAACTTAACGCATTGTAGCTGACTAGCGTACCGGCGAAACGTCTGAGAATGTGCCAAGTCAACGGTCGGATGTCGAAAGAAGGCATGACAATAGTTACAGAAAACGTGGCATGGGGTAGGCTCTTGGAAGACGCCCCTACAACGCGACGAAGTAGTGAAAGTAAAGTCAAAACAAAATGTAACAACAAAATGTAACAACAAAAGAAGACAACGATCAAACAAAAAGTCTCATATCGGTCTTCATGTCTACCTACCAACGATGTGGCCAGCGGAAAAGCCAGACAGCAGGCGGTTTAGTATTTTGAGTCACCTTGTGCGACTAGCAATTTCAAAGAAATTGCCATTTTCTAAATGTGACTGAGAAGATGGTTTTATGATCTAAGCTCATCTGAAAATATTGTACTCTTCTAACACATGTGGTACGCAAAAATGGGCCCAATGACTTTGACCTTTCGTTGATGCAAATCTCGTTTATACCGACCACGCTAAACTAGATGCATACTAGCGAGGGTCGCAAGTAAGGCAAAATGCTGATTAAAGAAAAAATAGTGTGAAAATCTATAGAATACAGAATATTCACAATCGAATTAAGGCAGTTCGCCGAGCGTCTATGGAGTACAGCATAATTTCATGATGCCTATTTGGGCATAGAGTGCCAACATACTATTTATCTGGTAGTAGTGAGAAGCGAATAAAAAAAATCATGAAACAGAGCAGGAAGCATAGAATACGAGGACGATCTGGGGACACTTTGCTAAGCAGGTGATATTGACGGACAAGTCAACAATATATTCAGAGAGGGCTGAAACTTCTGGCTGGCCAGGTCTCATTAGGAGCTTCTGAAGAAAATGTGGTCTCGCATGCCGACTACGGGTTTTTTGGACGTTATGCACTGGAAAGCATGGTCAAGTGTTGCAAGTCGGCGCTACCTGATTGCCGACTTAGCAAAGGAGCAAGAGGAAGAGGCGAGAACGCTGTGAAGGTGGAAAGAGGTAAATGCAAAAACGCCAGGTTATGCGCATACATTATCAAGGCATTGATAGAGAAATTGGATACAGCAGGATGGAGGTGGTCACCGGTGGACGAAGCAAGGGGAGACGCGATTAGTCCGGAACGAGAGGTTGTCTATAGCACAAAGTGCCACTAAAGACGGTGCTTGGCCAAGCAGACGCAGGCGCGAACGAGAAGGAAGAGATCCTGTAGAAAAACAATCAAGAGGCCTTAATGACGCGAGAAGTTCCGTCCTGCCTACAAGCGTCAAAAAGAATATGCTCAAGAATGAATGAAAGCGATCAGCCGGAATTCGAAGAATAAAAAGCATCAACTGAACTGCGCCTGACCAGCTTCCAAGAGTTGCCACAGCCCAACAGCGATACGTACCTGTAGAGCTGGCCGTATCGAGACAGTCGCCCGATTCGAGGGCATGCTAGCACTTGTTGAGCTTACTTCCATTTTGAGTAGAAGTGTTGGGTGAAGAGATTCGAAGGTCAGTTCCACCAGAGGACGACGGCGGATTCCTCTTGACCAGCTGTCGATTGGCTGTAATGGAAGATTCATGCTGACGCTGTTGCCGAGGCAATCTCCTTCGACTCCGGTGAAAACGTGCTAAGCTTTCGTC